CTATTAGTAGAGCCAGAACCTGAATGGTGTACATTGTAGCCACTAAGTACATTTCTCATCCTTCACTCCCCTCACACCCTTCCACTCTTCCAAGGCTTCAGTGTCTATTATGCAGTCTCTATGTGAAAGTGTACACGTTATGTAGCTCCCACGTATAAGTGAAGACATGTGGTGTTTGGTTTTTTGTTTCTGAGTTAATTCACTTAAAATAACAGATTCTAGTTTTATCCATGATGGTGCAACATACCTGACTTTGTTCTGTTTTATGACTAAGTTCCATTCCATTATATGAATATCTATCTATCTTTAGCATCAATATCTTTATCTCTATCTAGTCTATATATCTCTCATTTTTCAATCCGGTCATCCATTAATGGACACTTAAGTTGGCTCCATGTTTTTACTATTGTAAATAATGCTGCAATGAACATGCAAATGTAGTTGTCATTTCTATATAATGCTATTTGACCCCATTTCCTCCCCCCTTTCTTCTCAGTACTAACCAGATTAAGCTCCTGTGAGCCAAAAACATAGAAACTCTGAGATCGGCATGAACACTAGCTAACTTCAGAAGCTCATTGCTCCCATTCTTCCATAAACTGCAGTTTTGGCTTTCACACAACTTATAATTCAAACTCGTATCACATCTAAGAGCCTTAGTATTGGTCACAGGCTTCTGGGTCATGATCTTAAGATTTATTGAAGGTGTAAATTGTAGAATATAGTTTTAGAAGACAGCCACTTTGTTGAAAGAATGCGGCTGGGTTACTTGCAGGTAGCCCACTGTGAAATTTGGACTGGGCCACATTCCAAACATTCAGGGATGGGCCACTTTCCTTTGTAAAGTAAATACTTAAGCTTCATTAGAATTAACTTAGCATAAATCAATCAGCTTAGGGTGAAAAAGTTTATAGAATATGTCAGTCATGGATTAGGTTATCCTTTGTTATGGGATTTTAAGATTATCATATGAAAAGGGTTTAAAGGCAATCATTGATTAAGTTTTCATGGATTAAGGTTTCAGGTGGGTGGGGGACACCCCTCCCACATCTGACTTTGTGTATAAAAGACCCATGGTAATTCCCAATGACACACATTGCTTCTGCACTAGACTGGAGTTCAGTCTCTTTCTTTCTCTCTCTCTCTCTCTCTCTCTCTTTCTCCTTCCCCCCAATTGCTGATGCCTTCTCCACCTTTGGGGTACTCTGAACCCAACTGGAGCTGGTCTCTGGCAACTCTGCATGGGACTGCCTAGTATAGAAATACACAATACCATGTACTTGATCTCATCCTCTTACACAACAAAAAGCGAGTTCTTCTGCCAAAGGCTGTAGTCACTGACCCACATGGGGATAATGGTCTACGACAAGAGTTGTCAAACTTTTTCTTAAATTCTAAATATGAATATGGTGGTCCTTGAAAACATAGATAAAACAAGTTATAATGAAGTAAGAGATGTGAAAGATTCTAAATATTTCATGACTTTTCAGGCCATAGGGTTTCTGATGCAATACTGAATTCTGCAAATGTAGCATATCAGGAAGGCGGTTATAGACACTGCATAATTGATTGGAGACGAATAAGTTCCAATTTGAATGAAAATAAAAATTTTATATAAAGTTGTTTTGTTTCAAATATATTATTCTTCATTTGCATTTCTCAGTGTAAGTATTCCTGCCTTATGGACAGTATTAAAACAAGTGGCAGACTGAATTTGCATATGGAGTGCTATATATTGACCTCAGTTTAAGACATTTTTACTGAGTAGAATTTTGGGCAAATATGTGAGGTTGATTTGTGCTTTTGTGCTCTATCTGAAAATTTGCCAACACAAGGTCTTAATATTTGTCTTTTTTTCCTAGACCTTAGAGTTTCAGCTCTTACATTTAGATCAATGAGACATTTTAAATAATTTTTTATTTATGATATAGAGTAATAATGGGCATGCTTCAATTTTTCTTTTTGAATTTTCAATAATTTTGGTAACATTTTTTGAAAATATATGTGGTTTTGCATCTTTTTTAAAAAAGACAAATTAATTTTTATTATACCACAGATTAAAAAATATTTATATGGGGGTTCAGTTCAGGTTTAGGTATACAATGGATACAATACAGGTAAAGTTTGGGCCTCCCTTTGGTCCCCAATTCATTTGGTTTCAGATCAGATACCCTTATTGATGCTGTGTTCTCCCCACCCCCAACAGTATCCCGCTACTGCCAATCCTTTTCTTATAGTATTATGGTAAATGTTCAGGGTGTGCTCATGAGTGAGAACATGTGGTACTCTGTTCTTTGCTTCTGTGATAGCTCGCTGAGTATTATTGACTGTAAATCCATCCACGTTGCTGCAAAGTTCATATGTTTGTTCTTTATGAATGCATAATATTCCATTGTGTATATGTACCACATTTTTTTTTCAAAAAAGTTTGTTGCTATTTTTTGCAATTCACTATTCAGTCAAAAAACAAGCACAAAATTTGGGTTTTGTGCCCCTCTAGACTCTTGTAACAAAGGACAATCCCTTTCCTTTGTTTCCTTTCAGTAAGTTGACCTTTTTGAAGAGTCTAGGCCAGTAATCATTTAAAATGTTCTGTAAGGTGGTTTTGTGAAATCTTTTTCTATAGATTAAAATCCAGTAACAGGTTTGGCAAGAAAATTACATAGGTGCTTTGACTATCTTACTGAGTCACATTGGTGAGGCAAGGACACATAATATCCCTTATGACATCACTGGTTATGCTAAGTTCCTCAACTAATAAAGTGGTATCTGCCAGACTTTTCCATTGCAAGATTTCTCCATTCTTCTTCTTTTTATATGTAATTTAAATAATCAGTGGCATGATACTTTAAGACAGTGTGAAAATCCTGCTTCACAAATTATGCACCTAAAGGTTTTATTTTTATTTTTAGCTTTGATTAAGCCTTGCCTACTTGATGATTCCTGTGTGAATTGCTACAAAGTGATTATCCTTTCTGTGTTTTTAAGCCATGAGTCTGAAATGAATGTCTTCTTTGAATTTTAAAATTAAGGCAAACAACTTGCAAGGCAAAGATGATCATTTAACAATTCTATACATGCTATTTGTTTTTACCATCTCTTAAGATGCCATTTTAAACTACATCATGCATATTTTCAAAATGATCTGTGGACAGATACTGCTGACATTTCAAGTGCCACAAGAGACTTCATATGAAACCATAGTGTGCATACGAGATCTGCAAAAACTGAAGCGATGCACCAAAGCAGCAAACATGTACAAACACCAGTGTCCAAGCTTGATGATAAAAACATTCAGAAAATTTAGTACCCAAGTATCCTAGCACTCTGGAGTTCAAATGTGATCGGAGGCTACTTTAGCAAGAACCGTGTCCCTGTTTTTAAACTGATGGCTTTTATTACTGGATCTACCTGTCTGAAAATGTTACTGCTCGTCTTTGGATCACAATTATCCCAACTATAGATAAAAAGATTTAACCATGTGGTTACCATTGTTTCATTTTCTTCCATTACTTCCTTATAACTTGTGCTATCTATGTTTGTTGTTTCCGGGGCACGACCATATTAACATCTCTAACAGCTGTGCTGTATGACAACAAAGAATTCCCCAACCCAGAAAAGTTTGACCCTGGCCACTTTCTGGATGAATGTGGCAACTTTAAGAAAAGTGACTACTTCATGCCTTTCTCGACGGGTAATAAAAATTAATTTCCATTTATACCTCAGGGAACAAAGTCATCTTTTGGGATCACTTGGAACTTACATGGTACCTTATCTGGGTCTGGCAGAATTGATATTTGTACATAATCAGGATTTCCACTCCCAACTCCCATATGCTTCTCCCTCATGATACCTCCTCATTATTGGGCCAGATATGTGGGACTTTGGGCATTGATCTGGTGCTTCCAAACTGAAAAAGCAGAACCCTCATGATTTATTGACCTCCCAAAGGTCACAGCTTTTAGCACTGTTGCATTGGAGATTAAGTTTTCACATGAATTTATGGAGACACTGTCAGATTGTAGCTTATTTTTTCAGTGGAAGCATGTGTCTGATGTTGTGGAAACCCAGAAAGAGCAAAATTTAATTGCTTGAGGGGATCATAAGAGAGTAAAAAGGAGATTAAATATGACCTATTTCCTGAATGTAGTATAAAGAAGTGCATTTTGACCAAAAGAAACAGCATGATCTAAAACTAGAAATTTCACAATGTGCTGGAGGTTGATGAAAAGTGTGTATGGCTGGAACTGAGAACAGGGAGTGGAAGAGGGGAAGCGAAGATCATGGAATGTCAGTCTGGGAACAAGAGTTTCAATATGTAAATACTTAATGAAGTGTTTGGTATGTAGCTGATAATAAATATTGTTGAACGAAGGGTAACAGTTAGGATCAGCTGTTTGGTGAAATAGCAATCCAATCCCATGGTTCATCAAACAGTTACTGCATGTTCTCTTTGTGCCCATCACAAACATAGTGTTTTTTGCAGTTACAGTTATTAAAAAAAGAGCCACTCCCTTCTTTGCTTGTTATTTTCAGGAAAATGGATTTGTGTGGGAGAGGGCCTGGCCCGAATGGAATTGTTTTTGTTCCTGAACACCATCTTACAGAACTTTGAACTGAAGTCTCTGGTTGACCCAAAGGACCTTGACATCACCCCAGTTGCCAAGGGATTTGCTTCTTTGCCACCCTCCTACCAGCTCTGCTTTATTCCTCTCTGAAGAAGGACAGAGGGTCTGAGGTGTCTCTCACCTCCCTTATTCTGTATGTGATGCCTTTTTGAGATGCTGTCTCACATCTCCTCATTCCTTCATGATCTTGTGAACATCCAACCTCTGTTAAGGAAAGTTTCCTCAGTTTCACTGCACAAATACATCTGCTGTTTTCCGTACCCTTTAACACTCGATTGACCACTACACTTGTTAATATTAATCTAATGTTGAGTTACCAATATGTTTTCAGTATGAAAGAGAGAAAAATGATTAGTATATAATCATGTCGAGCTATTTCCTCTGCAGGTAGTAAATCAAAGGTGCTATAAGTTGTTGGGCCAGTTCTTAGATTCTCCTTCTTTTGTGTACAGTGCATGCTAAAAAATAAAAGAAATGGAGTTCTCGGAAGTCATGCTGGTTCTTGTAATGATTCGCACAGAGAAAAACAAAGGCTGGGAGGAGAAGTTAGGAAAGCTCTCTTGGTGGAATGTCACCTAGAGTTATTTGACATTTGAATTTGACAGAGAGATAGTTAGTTCAGGAGAGCTACAAACTTTAGGGAAATATTGATGGGATCCACAATAGGGAGGAATAGACATTAAGTGTCAGAATTCATGCACCTACTTTGGTGTTTTCACAGTGCCACTATAAAGTGGCTGTCCTTAAATCCTAAATGAATATTTGGATTATTTTTATCCCTTTATGTTTCCAATTAAGAGTCAAGTATGAATATATGTTTTTGTACCTCTACTCATGTGTTCTGAGTGTTATTCTTCTCTCTCCAAATATGAACACAATTTGTGAGAGGAATTCCCAGGTTTTATCTTTTTGAGTTTCTACTTCATTGTTTTACCTGAACATAAGTGGAATGATCATTTTATGGTAAGGTCCTGAAATCATTAGCCTCATGACATCTCTATAGCATAGATGATTAACATCTTATTATGTCAAATTATGCTCATCTCTTTTCCTGTCTTCTTGAAGTGTATGATATGAGAAGTGGCATCACTCATTACCCTTCTCACAGCTCATCTTCAAGAAGTTACTTACACTTTGGTATACATTTTATAGCTAAAGTATGGGTATAGACATACATACACATCTATTATATATGTATATATGAATGTATACTCACATAATATATATTATATAAATAGTGCACATATACACTTGGGGTTAAAACATTTGTTCGCAAGACAGGGCTTATAACCATGCATACTGTATTACAACTTGCTGTTGCCAACCAATCCTCTAAGATAATATAAACATAGACAAATCATTTAGATAAGTTACAGAAGAGAAAGTAAAAATTGGTATCTCTTCAATAAAAACTCCAAGTTATATATTATACTTTAAAAAAAAATTGGGGGTCTCACTATGTCGCCCAGGCTGGAGTGCAGTGGCATGATCACAGCTCATGGTAGTTTCTTTATCCTGGGCTTATATGATCCTTCCGTCTCAGCCTCCTGAATAGATGGAACTACAGATGCATGCCACTGTACCTGGCTAAATTTTTTAATTTTTAATTTTTACAATAGAGACAAGGTCTTGCCCTATTTCCTAAGCTGGTTTTGAACTCCTGAGCTCAAGCAGTCCTCCCACCTTGGCCTCTCAAAGTGCTGGGATTACAGACATGAACCACCAAGCCTAGCCAGATTACACACTTTTAATCTTCTTAATTGAGAAATCAAAATGTGTTAATGCACCATTATTATATGGGTTG